GTTTCATCCAGCGACTGATGAAAACAGATCCAAAGATGCACAACAGAGCAATAGGTGGAGTTTGAGGAATTCTGCAGATGGTGGGGAGGAGAAATTGTTGGAGATAAATCTGAGAGTTGGAGGTAAATTATCTGTATTTCAGATCATCCAGACAGCTATAGACACTATATTCTTCTGTCTCTGAGAAAGAAGATGAATGCCATGAATCCTAATATGACTGTTTTGGACTAATAACAACCATATGCCTTTTAATTCCTCACCATTTCAATAATCTCAGAAAGTTGCTCTGACAGCTGCAGGACAAGCCTGGTGATGGTAAAGCCATGCCTGTAAGGTCCCAGGACACTCAAGTCAAAGTTCTCAGCACGAAGAGTTCTTGTTTTACCCTGAGGAACAGAGGGAAGGGGATAATGGACAAAGACAGAGCAGAAAGGATGATGGATAAGGGGATGAGAACAAGGGAGAGGGAGAATTTGTCCCGGAGTGAGACAAAGGAAAGACTTAGTCTGCATAAGGAGGAGAGAGATGCAGCACATAGGAAAATGCCTGTTGATGAAGATAAAATGGGACAACCCATATGAGGATGAGGGGTTTATTTTTAATTGGACTTGTTAATTAGGATATTCAAAGGGGGCATTGATTGATTTTACATTCCAATTGCTGCCCTCTCCTCTGGTCCCCCATAAACAAGTCCCTCCTTATATTCCCTTTCTTTTTCCTCTGAGAGAGTGGGGGTCATTTAATATCCCTCAAACAGGCCGTATCAAGTCTCTGCAGGATAAGGAACATCATCTCTCACTGAGGCCAGACAAGGGAGTCCAGTTAGGGGAATGGATTCAAATTTAGGTAACAACATTAGGGACAGGCCCCACCCCTGTTATTAGGGGACCCATATGAAGATTGAGATACCCATCTGCTGTTATATGTGCTGTGAGTCTTGGTCTAGCCCATGTATGCTCTTTGGTTGGTGGCTCAGTCACTGAGGGATCCTGCAATTATGGAGTGATTCTCATTGCAGATCTCTAAGATTAAGACCTTCAATCCGGTAGACACTTTTCATTTTTTTTTTTCTAAGCAGAGTTTTTACTAATTATTCAATCTTGTTAATGCAGGCCTATTTCAGCATTTAGTTCAATATTCCTTGAGCTTCTAAGGGTCAGAAAAATCCTGAGCTGCTTCAACATTTTAGTTATTGATATCAACAGTCTCACTCCTGTGTACAATTATTGTGCAAATCTTTTCACTCTGTCTATTAAACAAGGTATGGTGTGTTATTTACCCTCTGAACAGAGGTGCTCTGCCCCAGGTGTAGCCTGATGAAGATAGGAGAGAAACTGTGATCTCCTGTTTTTTTCCTTTTTAGAAATGGAAACTGGTAGAGCCAGATTAAGCTGCCAGCAAGGAGGAATCTGTCTTTGAGAGGGATATAGTTATAGTGGCACAACTTAAAACCACCGAATCATAAATCATTATTCTCAGGTAAACTAGAGCCATTATCTCATAAGCTGAGCTCCGTGAACACTGGAGTTACAGGATAAGTTATTTTTTAAGCCTGACTATGCAATTTCAGAGTAAGCCATGACAAACCTACTTGCATGGGAGCTCATGACCAGCAGGGGTCACTATGAGGCCAAGAATCCCCATAGAGAGATGAGCTGTGTGTGGAGGGGACTCTGTGTCTTCTGTGGTTTCCTTTCTTCTTCTTTTTTAATGTGTATTAACTGATCTGTCCAGTTGTGATTGACATGTGATGTCTCCATGCTCAACCCCCATAAAGGTTCTTTGTTAAACACTTCACAGACTTATGTTTACTTGTTTTTCTTTGTTTTTTTTTGATTCTTGAAAAAATCATACCATGTATTTTAATATCTCAATCCCTCATCGTCAACTACTTCCAAATACTTCCTACCTGCCAACTCACCCAACTACATCTTTTATTTTCTAAAAAAGCAAAAAAGGAAGAAAATTAAAAGTGGATTGAAAGCAAACAAAAATTAAACAAAAGATTCTAAAAACAAGACACACACACACACACACACACACACACAGGGAAACCAGTAAAGCTACAGCTCTGTTGACAAGATACATAGGCAAAATATAAGTGAGACAGACAGAATTGAGGAAAGTGATATTGATATATGTATGCAAAAATATCAGAATTAATTTTCTCGTTTGCTACCAAATGCTAAACATGTTTTCCATGATTAATTGTGCTTAGTATCCTCTGTGAACTCCATTGGAAGAAACTAGCTTTTCCTTTGCATGTGAGTGTCAGTTGCAGAACTTTTGGTTAGCAGTGAGAGCCCATGTACATTTCCATCTTCCAACTTGAGAATTTTATCTGGGTTGACTTGGTTCAGGGACTGTGCCTGTAGCCACAGTCTCTGTGAGTTCATATGTGAAAAAGTCCAATTGTGTCTGGAAGACACTCATTCTTTTGAGTCATCCACCTCCTCTGGCTCTTATCATCTTCTCAATCTTAAAACCTGTTCTCTCTATTTTTATCTCTATTTTACTATATCATATTTGTTAATTCCTCATACTTTACTGTCTCAAAGCTAGCTTTATGCTTCTACGATTCAATATATCAAACAAAATATTCAAATCTGGAACACATATGCCTGGAAACACGAATCACTTGCTTTATGGTCATGGGTGACTTATTCAGTCTAGTTTTTTCCAGTTCCATGCAGACACTTACAGATTTCATAATTTGTTTTACCACTGAGTCACATTCATTTTTCTATATGTACCAATTTGTCATGTTTCATTTAAGCTTTTTTTTTTTTGGAAATCTGGGATGATTATTTCGTCTATATGCTGTGAACAGAGCATAAATAACATGCTGTGGATAAACACGGATGTATGGATATCTATATAATAGTTTGTAGTGCCATTTGTGTACGTGTTTGGGAGGGTTATTGCTGAGATACAACAAAATCTTATTTATTATTTTTTGGTGAATTTTCATAGGAAAGTCTTCATCCCAGGTAAGTGTGGTCAAGAATCCACGTTTAATGTTGATAAAGGCTCTAGTAGAGATCAGTCCTATTGCTAATGGTCATGTTGTCAACCTGCATTATAAATATTCATGTTTATACTCAGTATATTGTCTGAGCCTTGATCACAGAGGCTCATATATGCTGTGTGTAGAGACTGATGCAGACATCCATGAGTGCTCAGAGTGCTGAAAATGATGGACAGAGTACTCTGCCCCAGATGGATCAATGATACCAAACTCTCACTTCAAAATGAAGGACAGTTATAAAACAGGGGAAAGAAAGAATATGTGATAAAGAGAATGGGGTTGAAAGACATCATGTTCTATTCGTAGTACACACATGAACTCTCAGTAACTATATTTACCATCACAACACACACACAAAAATCAAACCAGTGAAAATTACAACATTGGAGACCTTGCAATTTCTGAGCAGGTAAAGAAGTCTACTAGCAAGTGTATCAATATCAGTTAAATCACTTAGAATTAAATGACATAAGTCATCCTCTGAGGTTAGTATATCTACCTTGGTGAATGTGTACCCTGTTATCAACACTAAGAATAATATAACAATTAAACATTACAACATAGGTGGGAAGGAACTCTTGATGGTCCAATCCAAACTGAAGGTCTTTTCATATTTGATGACTGATAGGCAAAATATATTCAATTTGGGGGGGAAATTTCTGGAGGTTCACTCTTTACTAGTGACAATCCTATCAATGTGTACATAGGTAGCGCTAATTGAACTCATTGTGTTATTATGTAATGAAACAGACTTCTGGAAAGAAGACCACTGAAAGGTCCCAAAGGGAACCACAGGGACCTAGTGATGGTAGATTGTGGTAAGAGTTCTGAGAGTGGTGTAGATCATAGCATATTTTATATATGATTGAAATTTTCAAAGAATAAAAATCCTTATTAAATATAAAAAACTTTACTTACGTACAGATTTTTCATATGTGTATTTTGTACACTGTGCATATATCTCCTGTCACCACTTGTTCCTCCTATTTTCCCTTTATTCTACTAGAGAATTTCACTGGTATAATTTGTATTTGCATCAATAGTTGTATATAACTCTGAAATATATAAGAGCCGTTAATGAGAGCCTCATTTAATATCTGTGATTTTGAGATTGTCTTCATTAACATAGTTAACTTAAATTACATTCAATTTTCAAAATCAATGTAAATTTCTTATTTATTTCTGGTCAAAAAATTCTGTTTTATACACATACTCACACACACACATACACACACACACACATATATGTGTGTGTGTAATTTATAATATATATAACCTACCTTTCTGATAAAATAATTTCCTGACACATCTATAGGTTATGGGTATAATTTAGTTATTAATGATCCTCCTGCAGTAGTCACTGATAGTTAAATAATTTTGAAGCTCATTTACTTTTAGTGAATTTAATGAGTTTTGAAGCATATAACCTGCTGGAAAGGCAACCATTACTTGCATGTATGAGAAAGAAGACTCTAAAACTATAAAAATCAGCTGTATTTGCAATTTTTCCATCATTGTCCTCATCTTCTTTTTCATCATCTTCATCACCAAAATAATCGACACCTTCACCATCAACATTATCAAATCCTCCTCCTCATCATCTCATCACCATCATCACAAAGCATTATTTGTAAATCAACATGTTAACATATCCCAGAGTGGAGCAATAAGTCTTAGGCAATAGACTTAGGCCAAAAATCTATGGAGAGATTTGTCCCTGTAGTTACATCTATACCATCAGGCCAGGGTTCACAGAAAGTATATGAGATGCATTTCCTCAGAGAGTATTAGGACTTGGACCTGAGCATCCTGCTGCCTCACCCACATGCCTTTTCAGTCCTTCCTTTCCAGTTCTTCTCCAGCTGAAATAGATTCTTATGTAACAAGTACCCTGATCACGAATATGCAAATTACTTGAATCTAAGGCAGTAAATACAAGGATGTCCACACCCTGAAAACAACCTATGATCAGTGTCCTCTCCACAGTCCCAGAATACACTGTCTCTAAACATGGGATGGAGCTGGATTTTTCTCTTGCTCCTGTCAGTAACTGCAGGTAAGGGGCTCACCATTTCTAAATCTAAGAGGAGACAGGGCCTGCGATGACAATGACATCCACTTTCTCTCCACAGGTGTGCACTCCCAAGTTCAGCTGCAACAATCTGGAGCTGAGCTGGTGAGGCCTGGGGCTTCAGTGAAGTTGTCTTGCATAGCTTCTGGCTACACCTTCACTGACTATACTATGAGCTGGGTGAAGCAGATTCCTGGACAGGGCCTGGAATGGATTGGATGGATTTTACCTTACTATGATCAAACTAAGTTAAATGAGAAGTTCAAAGGCAAGGCCACCTTGACTGCAGACAAATCCTCCAACACAGCCTACATGGAGCTCAGCAGTCTGACATCTGAGGACTCTGCCGTCTATTACTGTGCACAGTATTGCAACCACATCCTGAGTGTGTCAGAAACCCTGGAGGAGAAGCAAGCTGCCGTAGGACTCAGATTACTCAGAGAAGATTAGCCTGAAGTCTTGCCCATTCACAATCATTTTTATGTTATTCATTTTTATTGGATATTTTATTTATTTACAATACAGATGTTATCCCCTTTCCCCATTTCCTCTCCCTCGAATCCCCATCACACCCCCTCCTCCTTTATGCTTTTATACCACTTTGATTACATGCATGTATTAAGGTCAGTTCTAGGTTGAGGGTCTAGCAATACAATAGATGTAAGTAGTCAAGGAACAAGCAAGACAATAAACACCAATAGTCAAAGAATAAGCAGAACCATAAACACAAATAGTCATTTTGAGACTAGCAGCAGTTTAAAACAAACATTTTTAGATACAATTGCTTTTGTGTCTCTTCCTTAGAGCTCTATATTTCTTTTGTCAACTTTGGAAAGGGATATCTGTGAGTTATGTGATGTTGATTTAAAATGCTCCTAGAGTATCCCATATCTCGTTAGTCTCTTCACCAGTGACTGCCTTGATTTACATTTTTCTTTTTTAATCAAACAACAAAAAGTAAATGGTTATTATGCATGATAAGGTTATGTCTGGAATCTGATAAACCTAGAACTTTCATTGGAATAGCTGGAATAAAGTATAATATGAATTTGGCATGTAAATTCCCACCATTCCCTTGACAAACCAAAATTCCTTTCACAGTCTTAATGTTTAAGTGACTTTTACATGCATTGTTCACTCTAGCTGTGTGGTCAAGCAGAAGTTTTAGGCTCTTAGATTGTAAGAGCTATTTGTATCAGAATGAATAGTCTCATAAGTGTAATTTCTATCCATTGGACAAAAATAATATTAAATCCCTTTTCACAGAGCTCATTTATCAATTCAGTGTTTGTAAACGCTAATATGGCTAGACTATGAGGTTTCTTATTAATATCTGGTCCTATAAAAAGTTATCCTAGTCTTAGTAATCAGCCATAAAGTCTGTAGCCTTTAGATGTCAGGACCCATAATGGGTAAAACTAATAATTATCAGGTGATCGTTCTGAGATGCCCTGCTTCAGATTATTATATAATCTGTGACAGGTTCAACCTTATTAAGCAAGACTGTAAGAAATTCATTTTAGGAAAGATTCCTGCTAATAATATGGTTTCCTGTTATTATTAATTAAATAGAACAATAACTAAGTAATAGCACACCCCTTTGAAGCAGATCTCAGCAGATCCAGGAAGATGTATTTTCTAGTTGTGATGCTATATAGACAAAAAAAGTGACCTATTAAGTCTTAATGATGATCCTAGAAAAATTTCTAAAATACTATCAGTGATTATAAAACTCTTTTATAGTGATACTGCTATTAGGTCTCTACTGATAATCAAAACTGCAATGAGAACTCTGCCAGTCTCCCAAGGGTCACCAGTTAATTGCTCTTAGACAGTAACCAGACTTTTTTCTACTCAGAGCACATTCCAAGAGATTTTTTTTTTTTTTTTGGTTTTTCAAGACAGGGTTTCTCTGTGTAGCCCTGGCTGTCCTGGAATTCACTCTGTAGACCAGGCTAGCCTCGAACTCTCGAACTCAGAAATCCACCTGCCTCTGCCTCCCAAGTGCTGGGATTAAAGGCGTGTGCCACCACCGCCCGGCCCTCCAAGAGATTTTAAAACATTTAACCAGAGGTCATGTAAAGGGAACTAATCATTTATTATAGGTGCTAGGACAGAAGACAAAATATTGACTGGGTTTATCTATACAAAACCTTCACTAATCACTTAGTTATAGTTTTAAACCATCAGGAAACCTGTGGAGCTAGACAGGTGATGGATGTTTAGTCAGATAATTACTCCTAATAGATATGCATGTAAACATTCTCTGTTGTAAACTTCTATTTCAATTTAGGATATGATTTTGTGTATGAACGTGTAATGAACTATTTAACATGTGATCGTGTATTCTGAAAGATGTTTAAGTGCTGAGGACAAAGAGAAGAGTTAGAACTGAGCTCAGAAGAATTGAGCTGTGAGAGGAAACTGATCTGAGGAGATGTTTTTAGACAGAACACTTCTTAGGCAGAACTGAACTCAAGAAGAATTTAGAAGTATATCCATAGCTTTGGGAGAAAAGGCATTGAGAGTGAGAGCATTGTAGTAACTTCAGAGCAGGAGGAGAGATCAAGATTAGAAAGAATATGAGGAGTGGAATAACTTAGAAACTACTGATAACTTAAAAAACTAAAAGAGCAATGTGCAGAATGCAGAGGAAAAGAGGAAAAAAGAAGAAGCTTTAGAGAGCAGAAGGAGCAGGCATGCTTCTCCTTACCGTGGGACAGAACAGGTCCTTCTAGATAACAAGGCAGATTTCATCTTATTAAAAGGAACAAAGTATTGTTTCTTACAAACGTGGGTTTAATTCATTTAGCATTAAAAGGGTAGAAGCCTTTTCATTCTCCATGCAATAAAGATTGGAGATAATTTTTCATCCAGAATGAGTGAGATCTTTCTGTTCATGTGCTTGGTCTTTTGCTCCATATGCATTTGTAAGTATGTATGTACCTGTAAGTATGTAAGTATTGTGAGAATACATGCAGGCGTGTGTGTAAATATGTAATTGTAAGAATGCATGCAAGGTGGGTGCAATTGATTTGAATGGAAATGTATAAATGAATTTGCATGAATTTGTATATGAACTTATGTGAGTTTATGCATATTTGCTTATGTAAAAACTTTTCCTTCTGTGAGTGTTATTCTCTTCTCTTGAGTCAATAGAAGTTTATTGCTCGAAATATCCTCCCAGTCCCACAAGCAAGACCATCTGGACAAAAGGGAAAAGGCTCTAGAAATTAATCCATTACTTAATCTCCTGCTGTTTTAGGATGGGGTGTTAAGGGTCAGAGGCTGTATTCTCTGGCCTCAGAAGAACACAGAAGGCAGGTCAGCTACAATAGCGTAGTAACTTAGACTTAGATAAGTAAAGTAGTAAAGTTTATCATTATACAGCAACCCAAAATATCTCATAAGACAAATTCTTATCCTCCACCAAATCTCTTCCCCCTCTGCTGCCTCAACAAGAAGCAACAAGAAAGAAGAACCCCAAGCCAGGGCTGGCCCCAGGCATGTAGAGATATATTTTGATATATCAACTTTCACAGTTGCTTGTATTCCCAGTGCCCATCTTTGTCCTATAGAATATTTGTGAACTATTGTGTCTATGTCTATGTGTGGAAGTAAACCATGAGAAGAGATGAGAACTTGGTGCACATTGACTTCACCAACTTGCATCAGATTTGAGGGAGTCTAAGATAACAGGTAGTTTTTTGTAGGTATACTTAAACGCAATTGAATTAGGAAAAGATTCTGCAAGCAACAATAATTTTCATAACTATTCCAATTCCAGTTGTACAATGAGGTTTAAGGTGTGACTATATAGTAGGTATTTTATAAGTCCAGACAAGGCAGTCATCTGCTGCATATGTGCCAAGGGTTTCCATCTAGCTCATATGTGCTCTTTGATTGGTGGTTCAGTGTCTGAGAGTTGCTGCAGTTCTGGTGCGATTCTCATTGCAGATCTCTCAGATTCATAGATTACACCTGGTTGGTCCCTTTCATTTTCTCTAAGCAGAGTTTTTACTAATTATCTATCCTTGTTAATACAAGTGCATTTCAGTACTATGTTCAAAATTGTTTCACCTTCTAAGAGTCAGCCTGGTCCTGAGCTCTTTCAATACTTTAGTTATTTATAAGAACCATCTCATCTCACTAGTGTCTACAAGATTTATTGGATAAATCTTTTTACTTTATCTATTAAACAACGTAGGGTCAGTGATTTATCATCTTTACATAGGTGCTCTGCCACAGGTGTTGCCTGGAGAACCCAGGAAAGAGCCTGTTATCACCTGTCATTACTTTTTTATAAATGGGAACTGTTAAAGACGGATCCAAATGAACCAGAGAGGAACCTGGATTTGAGAGGGACATTATGGTATTACTGAAGCAATTTTAAATAGCTGATGCTAAAATCATTATCCCCAGGTAAACTAGAGCCATTTCTCCATTCAGGTGAGCTCAAGAACACTGAAGTTACAGGGATAAGTTATTTTCTTTTTTCTTTCTTTTTTAAATTAATTATTTTATTCATTTGCATTTGAAATATTAACCCCCTTCTCAGTTTCCCCTCCACAAATGCCCCCATCCCATTCTTCATCTCCCCTGTTCTCTTTGTCTATATGAGGGTACTCTTCCACCCACTCACACTCCTGCCTAACTGCTCTAGCATCCCCTCCACTCTGGGGCATAATGTCTCAACAGGACCAATGGCCTCCTCTCCCACTGATGCCAGGTAAGACCATCCTTTGCTACTTATGTAGCTGGAGCTATGGATCCCTCCATGTATACTCTTCAGTTGGCAGTTTAGTCTCTGCGAGCTCTGGGTGATTCCGTTAGTTGATATTGTTCTTCCTATGGCATTCCAATCCCTTTTGAGTCCTTCAGTCCTTCTCCTAGCTCTTCCATTGTGGTCCCTTGGCTCTGTCTGATTATTGACTGTGAGTGTCTTCATCTGTATTAGTCAGGTGTTGAAAGAAAGGGGACAGCTATATCAGGCTCCTGTCAGCAAATAATTCTTGACATCAGCAATAGTGTCAGGCTTTGGTGTCTGCAGATGGGATAGATCTCAAGGTGGGGCAGTTTCTGGATGGTCTTTCCTTCAGTCTCTGTTCCATTTTTGTCCCTGTGTTTCCTTTGGAGAAGATCAAATCTGGGTTAAAAATTTTGAGTTGGGTGAGTGGCCCCATCCTCAACTGGGGGACATACATATCTACTAAAACCAGACTGTACAACTTCAATATAAGCCATGATAACCCTCAATGCATGGGAGCACATGACCAGCAGGGGGAGTAATGAGGCCAGAAATCCACATAGAGAGATGAGGAGGGTTTGGAGGGGAATTTGTGCCTCTGTGGTTTCCTTTCTTAAGTGGAATAACTGATCTGTCCAGCTGTGATTGACATGTGATGTCTCTATGCTCAAACCCCATTAAAGATTCCTTGTTAAACACTTCACAGACTTATGTTTCCATGTTTTAGTCGTTTTTTTTCTATAATTTTTGAAAAAGATTCATACAATGTATTCTAATAACCCATTCGCTTATCCTCAACTTATTACAAATCCTTCCTACCTAACAAATCACCCAACTACACATCATTTATTTCTTCCTGAAAAAAAAATTAAAAAGGCATTAAAAGCAAGCAAACATTAAACAAAAGAACCTAGAAACAACAACAACAACACACACACACACACACACACACAGACATACTCTCACAAATACACACGGAAACCAGGAAGACCACAAATCTGTAGCCATTATATATAGGCAAAACGTGTGGCAAACAGAATTGAAGAAGGTGATATTAGAAAAGAAATGCCTGCAAAAATACCATGAGTTAATTTCCTTGTTGGCTACCAACTGCTGAGCATCTCTTCCATGATTAGTTGTACTTAGCATCTCCTATGAACTCCAATATAGAAAACTAATTTTCCTTTGTATGTGAGTGTCAGTAGCAGAATTTCTTGGTTTGCAGTTAGAGCCCATGTCCATTTCCATCTCCCAACTTGGAGAGTTTTTTCCTGGGTTGACTTGGTTCAGGCTCTGTATCAGCAGCCGAAGTCTCTGTAAGTTCATATTTGCATCAGTCCAATTGTGTCTGGAAGACACTCATTCCTTGGAGTCATCCAACATCTCTGTCTCTTATAATCTTCTCAATCTTAAAACCCTTTCTCACTCTTTTTATCTCTATTTTCCTATATCATGTTTGTAAATTCCTCATACTCTATTGTCCAAATTCTAGTATCTCTGCTTCTACAATTCAATATACCAAACAAAATATTCAAAAGTTGGAACATATATGAGTAACAACATGAATCACTTGCTTTATGGACATGGGTGATCTATTCAGTATATTTTTCCAGTTCTATGCAAATACTTATAGATTATATAACTCATGTTTTACCACTGAGTACTCTTCAATTTTGTATATATTCCACTTGATTCTGTTTTATTTATGCTTTGTTGGAAACCTGGGATGATTTATTTTTCTATATGCTATGAACAGAGCATGAATAACATGGTGTGAATAAGCATGGGTGTGCAAGTGTCTCTGTAATAAGGTATAGGATCATTTGAGTACATGTTTGGGAGGGTTATTGCTCAGACATATCATAATTTTATCTATTATTTTTTGGTGAATTTTTATGGAAAGTCTTCATCCCAGGTATGTGTAGATAAAGTCCATGTTCAGAGATGATACAGATCCTAACTGTATTGTTAAGGATCATGTTGTCAAATTGTTTTATAAATATTTATGTTTATAACAAGTAGACTGTCTGAGCCTTGATCACAGAGGCCCATATGTGCTGTGTGTAAAACTGATACAGACATTCATGATTGTTCCGAGTGCTGAGAATGATTGTTAGAGAACTCAGCTACAGACGAGTAATGATACCTACCTACCTACCTCTCACACAAAAATCTAGGTCCATCATAAAACAGGGAAACAGATTCAGAAAATGAGGTCAAAGATATCAAATTCTAGCTCTAGAGAATTATCTGTTTTTGTTGCACATATGAACTCTCAGTACTTATAGATACACAAATCTAAGCATAAGATACACAAATTAATCCAATGAAAATTACCACATGAGAGATCTCTAAATGGCTGAGCAGATAAAGAAATCTATCTACAATCTTAGCAATATCAGGTAAATCTCTTGGAATTAAATTATGTAAGTAGTCTGAGGTTAATATATTCACTTTGATGCATATGTACCCTATCGTCACCAAAAAATAATATAACATATTTTAAAAAATACAACATTTATGGGGAGGAACACATGAAGGCCCACAACAAACTGAAGTTCTTCTGGCATTTGATTACTGATAAGCAAAATATATTCACTTTTTTGGGGAAGATTTCTCAAGATTCACTCTTTACTAGTGATAATCCTATCAATGTGTGTACATAGGTAGCACTTATTAAACTCACTGTGTTATTAGGCAATGAAACAGAGGAAGTAGGATGTTGGGATAGAGACATTTGGAAGGTCCCAAGGGGAACTACAGGGACTTATTAGTGGTAACTTGTGGTGAAAGTCCTGAGAGTTGTTGTAGTTCGTAGCATATTTCATATATAATTGAAAATTTCAAAGACTAAAAATCTTTATGAAATAGAAGAGAAGGTAGGGGAAGAGCCTCAAATACTTGGGCACAGGGGAAAAGTTCCTTAAAAGAACTCCAATGGCTTATGCTCTAAAATCAAGAATTGGCAAATGGGACATCATAAAATTGCAAAGGTTCTGCAAAGCAAAGGACACTGTCAGTAGGATAAAATGTCAACCGAGAGATTGGGAAAACATTTTTACCAATCCTACATCTGATAGAGGGCTTATATCCAATATATACAAAGAACTCAAGAAATTAGACTCCAGACAACCAAATAACCCTATTAAAAATGAGGTATAGCGCTAAACAAAGAATTCTCAACTGAAGAAACTCAAATGGCCGAGAAGCACCTAAAGAAATGTTCAACATCCTTAGTCATCAGGGAAATGCAAATCAAAACAACTCTGAGATTCCTCTTCACATTCCACTCAGAATTGCTAAGATCAAAAACTGAGGTAATAGCAGATGCTGGTGAGGATGTGAAGAAAGAGGAACACTCCTCCATTGTTGGTGGGACTGCAAGCTGATACAGCCACTCTGGAAATCAGTCTGGCGGTTCCTCAGAAAATTGGACATAGCACTACCTGAGGATCCAGCTATACCACTCCTGGGCACATAACCAAAAGATGTTCCAACATATAACAAGGACACATGCTCCACTATGTTCATAGCAGCCTTATTTATAACAGCCGGAAGCTGAAAAAAATTCCAGATGTCCTTCAACAAAGGAATGCATACAGGATATGTGGTACATTTATACAAGGCAGTAACACTTGGCTATTAAAAACAATGAATTCATGAAATTCTTAGGCAAACGGATGGAACTAGAAAATATCATTCTGTGTGAGGTAACCCAATCACAAAAGAACACACATGGTATGCACTCACTGATAAGTGGATATTAGCCCAGAATTTCGAAATACTCAAGATAAAACTCACAGACCACATGAAGCTCATGAAGAAGGAAGAACAAAAGTGTATACATTTCAGTTCTTAGATGGAGTAACAAAATACTCATGGGAGCAAATATGGAAATAAAGTGTGGGACAGAAACTGAAGGAAGGGACATCTGGAGACTGTTCTACCTTGGTTTCCATCCCATGTGCAGTCATCAAAGGTAGATACTGATGTGGATGTCAGGAAGTACATGCTGACAGGAGCCTGATATAGCTGTGTCCTTAGAGGTCTGCCAGAGCCTGACATATACAGACGTAGATGCTCACAGCTAACCATTGAACTGATCATGGGGTTCTCAATGGAGAAGTGAGAGAGAAGAGTGAAGGAGCTGGAGGGGTTTGTAGCCACATGGGGAGAGCAACAATACTAACCAACCAGAGCTCTCAGCATTTAAACCACCAGCCTGGCAGCACATAGGGATGCACCCATGGCTTCAGCTGTATATGTAGGGGAAGATGGCCTTGTAGGGCATTGGTGTGAGAGGAGGTCCTTGGTTCCATGAAGCCTGGATGTCCCAGTGTTGGGGAATTCGAGGTTGAGAAGATGGAAGTGGGTGTGTGGGGTCACATCCTCATAAAAGCAGGAAGAAGGAAGAAGGGGGATGATATAGAAGTTTATGGGTTGGGGAGAAATGGGGAAGGGGAATAACATGTGAAATGTAAATAAAATATCCAATAAAAATTAATTTTAAAGAAAATACTGTTCTCTTGAAACTGAGTACTCCCCATGGAAATTGTATCATTAAAAAAAAAAGGTCATCGTGTAAAATAAGAAAAGAAATATAGAAATAACTTTACATATATACAGATTTTTCATACTTTTATTTTGTACACTGTGCATATTTCATAACCTTCTGTTTTTATTTTCCCTTTATTCTATTAGAGAATTTCACTGATGCAATATCATGTATTTGCATAAATAGTTGTTTATAACTATGAAACATATAAGAGCTGCTAATGAGAGTCTCATTTAATGTGTGTGATTTTCAGATTGTCTTAATACAGTTGTATATAAAACCATGCCTTAGTCATAAAAACATTCCTTGACACATCTTTAACTAATTTAGTTATTGATGACTCTCCTACAATAATCATTGGTAGATAAATATTTTTGGAGCACATTTAGTTTTATTTTAGTGAGCTTTGAAGTAGTATAAAACTGGTTAAAGGTAAATATTAATTGCATATTAGTGAAAGAATTCTCTAAAACTAAAAAAATATTAGCTGGTTTTAAAAATTTCCATTATTATCATCTTCTTCTTCTTCATGATCATCATAACCATCATCATCATCATCATCACACTCCACTATCTGTAAGTCCACATGTTATCATATCCTTGACTGGAGCAACAGACTTAGGCCAAAAATCTATTAAGAGATTTGTCCCTATAGTTACATCCAGAGTATCAGTCTAGGGTTCACAGAAAGTTTAAGGGATACATTTCCTCAGAGAGGATTAGGACTTGGACCTAAACATCCTGCTACCTGACCCATGTGACTTTTCAGTCCTTTCTCTCCATTAGTGCTCCAGCTGGACTAGCTCCTTATCTAAAAAATACCCTGCTCATGAATATGCAAATTGCTTCAGTCTATGGCAGTAAATACAGGAAAGTTCACACCCTGAAAACAACCTGTGACCTATGTTCTCTCCTAAGTCACTGAACACACTGACTCTAACCATGGGATGGAGCTGGTTCTTTTTCTTCCTCCTGTCAGTAACTGCAGGTAAGTGGATCAGCAGTTGCAAATCTGAAGAGAAGAGAGGGACTGAGGTGACAATGACTTCTACTCTGCCTTTCTCTCCACAGTTGTCCACTCCGAGGTTCAGCTGCATCAATCTGGAGCTGAGCTGGTGCGGCCTGGGGCCTCAGTGAAGCTGTCCTGCAAGGCTTCTGGCTTTGACTTCACCTACTACTATATGCACTGGGTAAAGCAGAGTAATGGGAAGAGCCTTGAGTGGATTGGCAGGATTTATCCTTACAATGGTGATACTGTCTACAATGAACAGTTCAAGGGCAAGGCCACATTGACTGTAGACAAATCCTCCAGCACAACCTACATGCAGCTCAGCAGCCTGACATCTGAAGATTCTGCGGTCTATTTCTGTGCAAGACACAGTGTGACAACCACATCCTGAGCATGTCAAAAACCTTGGAGTAGGAGAAGCAAGTTGCCCTGGGACTGAAAAGACTCAGAGAGCATTAGTTTGAAGACTTCCTCAGATGCAGTCTTTTGGAACATCCATTTTTGTGTCTGTTCCTTAGAGACCTATTGTGCTTTTGTCAACTTTGCATTATATGATGCATTATATGATGTTGATTTAGGATACTCCTAGAGTATTCCATGTCTTGTCAATGTCGTCACCAGTGACCACCACCATTGACATATCTCTTCTTTAATAAAACAACAAAAAAGGGAGACTATGATTATGCATGATAAAAATATCTCTGGATTCTGATAAAGACTAGAACTTTCTTTAGAATACCTGGGAATAAAGCATAATTTGAATTTGACCTGGAGAATTCCACCAACTTCTGAGCAAACAAGAAGCCCTTTCTCAGTCGTAAGTCTTAAGTGACTTTTAGGTATTTTGCTAACTACACTTGTATGGTTTGGCAAAAGTTCCAGGCTCTTAAAATATAAGAGATCTTTATATCAGGATGCATAGCTGTATCTCTCTTGCAAGTGCGAAGTTGAACAGTCTTCTGAGGTTGTATTGAGGATGCTTATAGAAAAGATGGAAATGAAGTCTGAGACAAAGGTTAGAAATCAGAGAGCTGTCCAGTGAATACCACAGCAATCCTGAATTTAGTTCTTATAGGCTTTATATACGTCTTAGTTAGAGTTGTACGACTGTGAAAAGACACCATGAACAACATTTAATTGGGGCTGGCTTACAGTTTCAGAGGTTCAGTCTAGTATCATCCAGGCAGGCATGGTACAGTCAGAGCTGAGAGTTCTACATCTTCATCTGAAAGGTTCTAGCAGTGTAATGAGCCGCCACTAGAAGATGGCGCTTGTCACCGATGTTTGAGGTGGAAAACAACTGCATTCAGGGTCGTAAACACCTGCTGTGAGCCTGCGTATCTTTCAGACGCAGCTCCTCACCCTCCCGAACAGTATGTAAATGAAGTTCTGCAAGAAGCACCAATTAGACACTTATAAACAGTTGTGATAACTATTTAAGCAGCACCCATTTCGGGCTTGGGGTCTTTTGCTTTGCAATCAATGGTGTGTTCCCCAATAAAGTGCGTGAGGAAGGATCCTGTTGTGTGTCATCCTTGCTGGCGAGGCGGGCACGACATAGCAGGGTATTGGCTTCCAGGCAGGTGAAAGTCTTATAGCCCACACCCAGGGTGACATACCTTCTTCAACAGTGCCACAATTAGTGACTAATAATGTCACTCTTTGGGTTGAGCATGCACAAAACATCACATTCGACTCCCTGTCCCCCATAGGCTTGTTCACAGTTGAAACTATGAGCGTCATACCTAAACATAGCATAATGCAAAATACATGTAGTCCAACTTCCAAAGTCCCCATAGTCTATAGCAGTCTCAATAATGTTAAAAGTTCAAAGTCTCTTCCAAGATTCTTTCAATCACGTAACTAACTCCCAAAGTAAGACAGGAAATCTGTAAGGAGCTACCATTAGAAGATGGCACTTGTTCCCTCTGTTTGAGGTGGATAACAACTGCATTCAGGGTTGTAAACACCTGCTGTGAGCCTGCGTACCTTCCAGATGTAGCTCCTCACCCTCCGGAGCAGTATGTAAATGAAGTTCTGCAAGAAGCACCAATTAGACACTTATACACAGTTGTGATAACTATTTAAGCAGCACTCATTTGGGTCTTCGGGGTCTTTCGCTTTACAATCAATGGTGTGTTCCCCAATAAAGTGCGTGAGGAAGGATCCGGTTGTTGCGTCATCCTTGCTGGCGAGGCGGGCGCGACAGAAATCAGCTTGGCAAACTCCAAACTCTGCATCTCCATGGCTGGTGTCTTCAGATCTCCAACTCCTTTTTCATCTCTGCTGACTGCAACAAACTTCTTTTTCCTGTGTTGGCTCTTACTCCCTGCTAGCAGCTCTCCTCCGCAGATAACCCATGGGTCTGGCATTTCCAACATTTTGGGGTCTCCAAGGCAACTTCTATGTCACGGATTATTGTTTCTATGTCTGAGACCCACACATGATCTTCTAGTCTCCTTCTAAGGGCTGGTTTCACTTCTCCAGTTCTGCTCTCTGTAGCAATCTAAGCTCAGGTTGATCACTCCACTGCCACTCCTGTTCTTGGTGATCGTCCCATTGTAATGGCACCTCCAATACACTGGGGATTTCTGCTGCAACTAGGCTTCACCAATAGGTTTTCATAGGCTCTCTTCATAATGGCAAGCTTTAAATCCTTTGCATGACACTTTCATACCTGCACCATCAACTACAACTGAAGCTGCATCTTCATCAATAGCCTTGTAGGATCTCTCAATGTGCCAAGCCTCAGCTGCTCTTCATGATCCCTTAATGTCTTCACAACCGGTTCCTCCTGGGTGACTGTTACACATTACCAAGTACAGCTGTAGTAAGATTCAACATTGGCTATCTCTGAAATGCAGCTTTTTTGTGCTCTCAGAAAACACTTTACAGAAGATTTCACCTTAGTGATGCTGGTCTCCTTGTAATCACCATTAATTTCTTAGCTCCAGCTAACCAGCATCAATTGTCCCAGTAATCCCTTCTATTCTGGACCCTTAAGCTAGAGCACTTTGGTGATGCTGCTGACTTCTGCTGCTTCCTGGGGCTGGAAAATGCCCCTCCCGTTCTGTTATATAATCACCAGCTTTTCTGTTTTCCAACTCCTACGATGCCTAAGCATGTCCCTCCTGCAACTTGCTCTGTAGACTGACTTTGACCTCAGAGATCTGCATGTCTGTTTCCTAAACACTGTGATTAAATGTCTCCTACTAAGTCTGGAACTAAGTTTTTGTTCACTTATAATTTGCTCTAGGTTGACATTGAACTCAGAGAACTGCTTGTGTTTGCCTCTTGAGATTAAAGGCATGTAGTACCTAAACTTAGCTGGGTGTGATTTTGTCCCAAAATCACTAGTTCCTTACTTCAATTTAATATCCTTGAACACAGGAATGATCCCTATTTCACTTCCTGGTGCCCCCTTAATGAACCATATATTTTATATTTTCCCTTTCTCAGCTTGCTAGGTTTGTTTAAAATGCTCTTCATGAGACATTAAGTCTCATGAACAAACTGTATGATGGGTTTTTTTGTGACTTCCTCTTTCAGTGCAATTAATGACTCTCTTCACCTTAGACTCAGGCAGACTCTTCAGACAAGGACAGAATTTGCCACACTCTTCACCAGAATACCACCAAAAACAGTCTCTAGGCCATATACTCAAATTCTTCTCCACTGAAATATCTTGGACCAGGTCAGCACACTTCAAATCACTCACAGCAACAAACTCTTCCTCCTAGGATAGCCCATTATGCCCACGTAAAGCCTTCCAATGCTTTCCATAAAAATCCCAAAATCCACATTCTTTAAAAATCAAACAAAAGCATGGTTAAGTTTATCACAGCAACACCCCAGTCCCTGGTACTACTTTCTGTCTCATTTAGGGTTTTACTGCTGTGAACAGACACCAAGACCAACGCAAATTTTATGAAGGACAACATTTAGTTGGGGCTGGATTACAGGTTTACAACTTCAGTATCATCGAGGAGGGAGAGCATGACAGCATCCAGGAAGGCATGGTTCAGCAGGAGGTGAGAATTCTACAAAGTCACCTAAATGCTGCTAGCAGAATACTGGCTTCCAGGAAGCTGCAATGGCAGTCTTACAGGCTTCATCCACATTGACATACTTACTCCAACAGGGTTACACCTTTTAATCTTGTCACTCTCTATGCCAAGCATACCCACATCATCAAAATATACTTGACAGTATCATGGGAAAGAAAGACACAATCTAGCCGAGACAATTGCTAACAAACATTGAATATTTATTCCCATCCAAAAACTTCCCAGTTGCTTCCTCCAAGATGAACAGAACGTTCAGCCCTCCTGCCTTGACTCTGCCTGACAGACAGGCTTTCACAGAAGTAGGCAAAATGGCTCCTGATACAAAGCTAGATGAGGGTAACTCATATAAGATGGACTAAAGGAATATTAACTTATTTTTCACAGAACTCATCATCTCATTGTATGTATGTGCTAACAGAGGTAGATTCTGGGGTCATATGTTAATTTCTGGTCTTATATAAGTGGTCCCAGCCTCAATAAACAGTTCTACATTCACTAGCCTTTAGAGCCTATGGACCTATTCTGAAAGAGCATGAATTCTCACAGTTCGTTGTATACCTGGTGCCCATTTTTGTCCAATACTGTGTTTGCGAATGTGTTTGTCTCAGCATCTCCATGTGTTCTTGTGCTTGGTTTTGGTGTTATTTTTCTGACTTTCATTTTGTTATTTTGTCTTATTCCAGTTTGCTTTCTTTTCTTTTATCTTATTTTAGTTTTATTTTTTTAAAAAAATATTTTTAGGTGCTGTTTGTTTATTTAAATAGATAAAGAAAGGGAGTTGATTTTCAGATTATCTGGAAAGCGTTGAAGAAGAGAAATCAGTAATCAGAATATATTGAAAGAAACATTTGTCTTCAATACAAAATAGAGAAAATCTAAGAAAATTAATAAGTAAGAATTCTGAAATCCTCTTTGTTTTGCCACATTTGTCTAAGTAAGTGCCAATACTTTAAGACTCCTTTCTCTGTTTAAATTGTTTAGCCGGGAGGTGGTGGTGCATGCCTTTAATCCCAGCACTTGAGAGGCAGAGGCAGGCGGATTTCTGAGTTTAAGAGTTTGAGGCTAGCCTGGTCTACAGAGTGAGTTTCAGGACAGCCAGGGATACACAGAGAAACCCTGTCTCGAAAAACCAAACCAAAAAAAAAAAAATGTTTAAAGGATTTTTAGAGGCCAGAAATCAAAAGACTTTAGACTGCAGCATATATAAAATGCATAATGTCAAACTGTATTGCAATATTCAATAAAATGTTGGGATTTTAACTGATTTGTGTGTGTTTGTGTATTTGTGTTGAAAGGACCCCCGAAGAGAGACCCTCACTCAAGT